CCCCAAAACCCCAAAACCCCATGAAAGTAAGAATATTTGTTGAGATTGTAATATAATCATATAATAAAAGGATTAATATAAAACTTAATCAATTCTATCAAAAAGTCTTACTAGCAGGTGATCAAAGCCTCTATTTCAAACTTCTTATTATTATTTATCATTAACTTCAAATGTTCTTTTTAATGGCTTAAATTTTGCAATAGTTTGGACTAGGTCTCAGAAATAATATCCTTACATTGCTAACTCTATAAAATTGGCTTTGAGAGTAGACTATAAATCTTCATCTAGTCCTTTTCATTTAGAGATTAAACAGTTAAAAAATCAAAGTCTTATTAGAAAGGACCAATCCAAATCATTGTAGGTATTGCTATCTCATCTTAATCCATACTTTGATTCTATAAATTCGAATTCAAAATAATACTATTTTACTTGGTTTCCAAAAGCATATTGATAATAGATATCAGCTCCATATGGATCTGCATCCCCAATGTAAAAAATAGGTAGATTAGCAATACTAGAAAGCATTTTCACAAATTTTTTAGTCTCATAATCTGGATAGCCTTTACCCTATATTTATCTCAATACTAATGAGGAAAAATACAGTGATGAGCAATATAAGCTCTCTGTGTTCATTAAAAAATGCTGTCTAGGTCAATCTGCTAAAAACAGTATCCTTTTCAACTACTATCACAACTTTAGCAGTTATTTATGGAATTAGAGTTTCTTGAAATTCTTTTTCTTCAATAGAGAGAATTTAAAGTTAATCGATCATTATATTATCGGCAAATTAGAAGTCTAGTCCTCCTCCAAACATTAAGCCTTTTGATGATCCCCTCTTTACACTTAATTATCATGGATAAATTCTTACAATTTTTAGGTCATCTCTATGTAGATTAAGAATCTAGCAAATCTCTTCTATGTAGTTGTCAAGCTCATCCGTAGATGATATTTTGTTGTCAAGAAGTGAGTAATATAAAGCTCTTTTGTTAACTTTGTCAATATGAGAAGCTAAATGTTAGTCTATTGAATCTAGAATGACTAGTAGTTTATCTATAGATTTAGTCTTATACAAGATTTAATTCTTTACTGAAATGAAATGAATGCTCCTTAATGGATATTTAGATAGTTTTTAGATCTTCATTCTAAATATAATATCTCATTGTTTCAAAATCAAAGTTGAGATCTTTATGAGATATCATTTTTAAATCTCTAACCTAAAAGCTAGGACAGTTCTTATCTAAGATTGATCTGGTCACCCAATCAAATATTTAGCGTATTCTGAATCTGACCTCTTCATTACTTAACCTAAGGAATGAATAAAATGCTTCAATTACTTTGGGGATTATAGAACTTTGCTGCTTCTAAATTGCCAAAATTCTGATATCTCAATTCGATTTAAAACTTACATTTAATTAATTATAATTATGGATTCTGAGTTAAATATTATTGAAGTTGAGATCACTGGAGGATGTCACTGTCGTGCTATCATTTTTAAAGCTTTAGCTCCAAAAGTTGCTTCAGTTTATAAATGCAATTGCTCCATATGCTTGATGAAGTAAAATCACCATTTTGTAGTGAATCACGATAAGTTCACTTTGATAAGTGGGGAAGATCAAATATAGAGGTATCAATTCAATACAAAAAAAGCTGTGCATTTATTCTGTAAAGTTTGTGGAATATGTTCCTACTATCAGCCTAGATCTAATCCAGACTGCTATGCAATTACTATATACTGTGTTGATGGATGGAACTAGGGAGTATTCTAAGATATTCTTTGGAAGACATTTGATGGGCAGAATTGGGAGAATCAGATTCAAAGCAGTGATATCACATAATTCTCAGTAAAACCAACAGAGGAAAAAACTTAGAATTGATTAAAGAATATAATTATCAAATTGCTTATTAATTAAACTAACTAATCAAGAGTAAAATACCTTTGTAAATCCTTTGACTTTCTATTCGAATCCACCTACTAATATAACTCTTTCCTCTTGATTATCAACCATCACGCATTACACTTCGACTTTTGCTGGATTATCACAATCTTTAACTTCATTAACTAATTTCCAATAGAGGTCGCCCATATTAGTGTAATTCCCTTTAATTAAGGCTTTCAGCAAAGTATTAGACCATCTTGCTTATCTACTTCCCACTCCCAAAGTCAGATGAGGAATATGATTATGAAACTAGAGATTATCAGTAGGATTTAAATTTAATCTCACAACAGCAGTTATTATTTTTTCGGGCACAATTGCTACTCCTATTAAATCAGCATCAATAAGTATTCCTTTATCATGTAAATCAATCTATTCTTAAAATGAAGCTTTGGGATAATTTTATTAAACTTCTTTCATAAAAATAGTTGTTAAATGAGTAGATTCTATCGGTTTTATATTTATACTGTCAAATTTATTTGAATCAAAAGCTAACTTTATTTAACTAATAGATGAATTCGTATCTTTGAGACATTCAAAAGCAACATCTACTGATTTAACTAGGTAATCATTGATTATTTTTAGATTTTCTTCATCAAAGGCTATACCTAGATATATAGGCTTCTTAATTTACTGATTCTTTTAATTATTATTTTATGCCTTCTACTACTGTATAAGTTACTAGTTTTTATTCTATTATATGATTAAGTTATCCTATTTTGGACGCTAATGAATATCTAACTTTTGTTGCTGGCTAATTTCTTTAATTGAATCATTGATAAAGTAGGAATCTATATCGATGCCACTTAACTATTCCAAAACTAGGTTGTTCTGCTTAATAATTGTCTTAATGAAGTCAATAAATTTACTTTAAAGTTACTCATTTAAATAGCTATGCTGCTTAGTATTGATCTTAAGAGATTGAAATGAATCATTGACTATTTCTAGATAAACTTAAATATCAAAGGGTAATTTATATCCTGTGCAAATTTCTCTTATTTCCTTTATACAAATCTCCTGCTTATCTTATTTTTTAGATTTGGATTCTTCACTATTTTTTAATTAACTTTATTAGCCCTAAATAAAATGATCATTTACTTGATGCCTCAATTTTTCTCTTAGCTTCCTAAAAATTCGATACTCTAGAGTTTTAAGTTTACCCAGAGAAATCACTCTCTCTGAATTTTACTCATAATTTTAAACAAAATAGATAACAGCCCCTTCTCCTTAATCTCTGATTGAAGATTCATACAATTCTTTATAGATTACTAATAAACGATCACATAAACTATCATAATCTTAATATGTTCCCTCGTTCATAAATTAAACTCTCCTAAATCCATATTTATTTATAAATTCCTCGAAAAATTAAATAGGCTGGCACAGCTAATCAGAATCATTTTTAATCATGCAGTAAAATTTCAAATATTAATGAGTATATTCAATCAAATGCTAATAACCCTCAACACCAACTTGTTCTCCTATTAGAGTATAGCCATTTAAATCATTTTTCAAAACTTATACTTTTTCCGAGTCAAATTCAGATATCAGCTTAAACCATTGAATAGCAATCTGCTTTGTATAATCATACCTTTAGTCTTAATAAAACTTAAACTCTTCTTCACCATTCGCCAGAATACAAACATTTTTAGAGGAGATTGCCCATAAATCAAACTCTTTTACATATGAAATTTGAACATTTTCACCATTTGCTTTCTCAGATCTCAGCAAAGATATATGATTGTTTTGGTTTAACTTAAATGCTTAAAATATAGGACCCATTACATATGACTTTAAGTTTTAATCTCCCTGATTGGTAATCATCAATCTTTAATGATTTATGTACTCTAATTTGATGTCATAAAACTTATTTAGCCCTCTTCTCACCCATTAAAAACTAGGTATCTCTTTGACACTAGGATCATGTCCATCGCTACTTTTTATTTGTAGAATTGTGTTACCTCTCCTCATATTTTTCTGGTATGAAGTAACTTTCTTAAAGAGTCTATCCTCTTAAGGTCCCTTTGATGTCATTTAAATGTCAATTAGCGATACACAGTGATCATTTTTAGATAAGAACTCTAAGTTCAGTTAATTTGTTTTGATTTTTCCAATATTTTTATTAGCATAGTCAAGGTATTAATCGACTGGAATATATTATTCTTCATCCAAAATATCTTTTATTTCTTTGCTTACTTATTATTTGCTTGCTTGTTTGCTATTGTCATTATTGAAAATTTTAACACCCTTGCCTTCCATTCTTTAAAGTTATATTATTAAATATGCTTATTATTAAATTTACATTCTCTCCAGTATTTTCCTTATAAAATCATCAGGGGTTTTGGGGTTTTGGGGTTTTGGGG